TCGGTGTGAGCTCAAATCTCAGCCGATTTTCTTGAAAATATAACCAATCGATTCGCATGGCGATTCCGGAGGGCATCTCGTGCCGGTATTTTTGATGGCATCATCTAAGTTCCCATATATGGAAATTTCGGTGTTTTCATGCATAACTGCTGTAGCACTGGAGATATGGCCCTGGGAAAGTTAGCCTTTTGTTTTGAAACACTAATGACCATTCCGATGGGCATCTGCAAGCCAGAATTCGTTTGTGACTGCCCCATGGCATAAAAAATGTGCTTCAATTATATGATGGATTTAAAGCACATTATTTATGCCATGGGGGAGGTCACAAATAAATTCTGGCTTCCAGATGCCCTCCGGAATGGTCATTAGTGTTTCAAAACAAAAGGCTAACTTTCCCAGGGCCATATCTCCAGTGCTACAGCGGTTATGCATGAAAACACCGAAATTTCCATATATGGTAATTTAGATGATGCCATCAAAAATACCGGCACGAGATGCCCTCCGGAATCGCCATGCAAATCGATTGGTTATAATTTCAAGAAAATCGGCTGAGATTTGAGCTCACACCGAGGATTTTGCTGAAAACGGACCAAAAAAAAAAAAAACACGCCGCGCCCTAAGTTCTGCAAAGGGCTGTAAGTAGATTTGATTCACGGTCGAAAATCGCGATGAATATTTAAGAGCACACGCGTTCATGAAAGGTTTAATCGCGGCAGGGGGAAGACAAAAATGACAGGGGACGTAGTAATGTATGCCGACGGGAGGACTCGAACCTCTAGCAATTCCTGCTGTTTCTCATACGCGCCAAACAAGAGTGGGAATAGACCCCCGTGGTCAACGACGGATTGAATATAACAGTTACCAGGGAAATAAATCTGCTGGTAATTGACCATGGTCAAGTGCGAGCAATGCGAATTCCATGTTGAACATCGGTCTGCAGAGTGGTTCTTTGATCGTCGCATATGAAGGGATGTGCTCACCACCCTACAGCAAAAAGGACACGGTCGGAATGTGATTTTACTTGGGGGCACAAAATTGACGAAAAAGGAAAGGTTCGATCTTCAACGCTCCATGCCATCGGGAGGAATCGAACCTCCGACTTTCTTCCCATGGACGTTTCTACTTTGGTACACTTGGAGGAGAGGACCGCCATGGTCAACAACGGCTTGAATATAACATTTACCACGAAAATAAGCCCGAGTGATCAAAAATATCAGGCGGCGCACAAATGGAGCGATTGCTCAGCATCGTTGCGTTTTTGGTCGCTACATATGATGAAGGGAAGAAGGCACCCTGATCGTAGAGGTACACAGATGTCTCGGGGACGGGAGCTCGGAGCCGGAGAAAAAAAGGGGGAAGCATCTTTGGGGGTATTCCATCGGGAGGAATCGAACCCCCGGCTGCCTCTGAATCTGACCGTAGATTCACATTAAAATTGAAGAGGGGACCACCACGGTCTACGACGGCTTGGATCCCGTACTTTTACGGGAGATAAGGGGGCCGAGTATGCAGTCAACGATATGAGTAAATATAAAGCGTCGATTCGATTCGCGAACCGGGTGGGGGAGATTCAACTCATTCGTTTGCCGTGTAAATAACAGTTCGAACGGAGTAACTTGAGTTGATAATAAGAAAATAAAAAATAAAAAAGGCAGAGGAAGAAAACGTCTATGCCGCCGGGAGGAATCGAACCTCCGACTCCTTCTTATATATCTTCAACTCCCTTCAAAACATGGAGAAGGCGACCGCCACGGTCCACGACGGCTTGTATTTACTGCTTCCCCATTTAATGTAGTCTTTATCTGACAGTGAAGCTGGTACCCCGCTTGTTAGACGTTGAATGAGCGGGCAGATAACCGTTGGGTGCGGTTTAACACATGCCGTGGGCTTAGCGACGGGCCGACGAAATCTGGGACTATACTGCAGTTAAGCAGTCGAATTAATATCACAAATTTGTAGGAACGGCAGCGGGAATAAAAGAAATGGGAGACAGAGTATGCCGCCGGGAGGAATCGAACCTCCGACTACTTCTTATATATCTTCAACACTCTTCGAAACATGGAGAAGGCGACCGCCACGGTCTACGACGGCTTGGATTTACTGCTTCCCCATCGAATGTAGTCTCTATCTGACAGTGAAGCTCGTACCCCGCTTGTTAGACGTCGAATGAGCGGGCAGATAACCGTTGGGTGCGGTTTAATACATGCTGTGATCTTAGCAACGGCTCTACGAAATCTGGGACTATACTGCAGTAAGTTACGCAGTCGTTCAAAAGGGAATGAATATCACGAATTTGCAGGAACGGCAGTGGGAATTAAAAAAATCGGAGCAGAATAGAAATATGCCGCCAGGAGGAATCGAACCTCCGAGTCCTTCCTACCACGCTCTTGAAGAAATCAAATTGGGAAGGGTGACCACCATGGTCTACGACGGCTTGAATAATTGAATGTCGTTGATCGCTATGTAGGATTGGATTAGAGTACTAGGAAAGTGATGCGCTCATCGATTTGACACGGGAGCACCAAATTGAAGCAATATATATATATATAGCTCAAACTCAGAATGATTGTGACGACGGGACCGCCGAATCTAGAGTATATTCCAGTTCAGCAGTCGTTAAAAAGGGAATCAAAGTCACGAAATGCAGGAACGGCCCAAAGCCCGCAGTGGAAATAAAAGACTTTGCTGGCCGAATCATGCCGCCGGGAGGAATCGAACCTCCGGCTCCTTCCCGGGCACGATGTCATCGAGATGGGGATCGCCGTAGTTCACGACGACTTGAGAGGGTTAATGTTACCGGTGAATACACTGGACTGAGCATAGATGAAATAATGGTACGCACCTGACATTCAATGATCCTCTCCTCGTTGGGGGTTATGGTGGTTGAAACCAAATTGTTCAATCTGTGAAACGAACTCAAGCAGAAAGAAGCGCGGTTCGTCACGAGGAAAAACTCATCTTAAACGAAGAAAGAAGAAAAAGAGCGGAGGTTATCGCTGCATGCCGGCGGGAGGAATCGAACCTCCAACTCCTTCCTACCTTGAAAACAGGGACTTCAAACTGGGGAGGCGACCACCCTGGTCTACGTCGGCTGTCATACTTTCCTTGTCAAGCTTTCCAAAACCACGATGCAATTGGGGTTCAAGCCCAATGTCTTGGACCGCCATGCTGCCTGTAACTGATATTGGCGCCGTTCTATATTTGAGTCCTCATAAATTAAATGAACCGTCGTCAGCGCCGTGTGCTATTCATTGTCATTGTGATTATCAACCCTGTGTGGGTGATTCGGTCGCATCTATTAACATTTGATTCATCTTACTGCTCGTGGCGCCCCGTGAAAAAATGCAGCCGACCACAATAAAAGGATCAACGCAACGATCAAGCCGAATCTAAATTAGGATGGAATTGATTCCGCATCAAGCTTCCACATGACAGGAGGGCTGTGCAGTGTTTCTTGCTCTCACCGTCCACGACCCCCGTTTCCCTTTCCCTTCGTTTCCGCCGCCGCGCCAGACGCGCCGCGCTTTCTGTCCCACTCGCAGGCCGCCTTCCGTAATCCGCCTTACTCTTCCTCTTCCCGCCTCTTCCGTTCTTTGCCTTGTTCTGTCATCATGCGCTTCTCCACATTCTCAGTGATGGTTGCCGCCAGTGTGGCTGTCGCCTCCCCCACCCGCTTCAAGCGCGCACCGGACTCGATCTCTCGCATCAACGCAGCTGCCCGCGCAGGCATCGAGTGCGTAGCTCCAGCGCCCATCCGTCTCTGTACGGCTGTCAACAGTCAGATTCTGACCACGTTACAGCCCCACCATCGTCTGTCCGTCGGCGGACAAGAGCGGCTCGCCTCTGACCGCCTCCACCTCCACCACAGAGGAGGGCAACGAGTTTTCGGTGTGCACTTACGCCTCCGCCGGCGAGTGCGAGTTCTTCTTTGCGGTGCGTGTTTTTCCCTCTTGCACGCATGCATGCGTGGAAACTGATAGCTCGATTGTCTTCGCACACACAGGACGGGTCCTTCTCTTCCGGCTCAAGCGTCTGCCCGAAAGGGCTCCCGCAAACGGGAGGCGCCGGCGCTGGCGCCGGTGGGGGGAGCACCACCACTTCCACGTGCGTGCTGTCCTTCTCTTCTCCCTACATCCCACTGACCGTATGAATCCAACGCAGCCCGCCGCCCCCGAGACGACCACGCAAGCGGCGCCCCCGCCGCCTACGACGACGAGCACGCAGGCGGCCCCGCCCCCTCCCCCGCCTACCACAACCGACACCCCCGCGCCTCCTCCGCCCACCACGTCGACGGCAGACACCTCCACCTCCATCTCCACCTCCACATCGACGGTCTTCTCCACCGTCTCCGAAACTGATACGCCCGCCGCGTCTCCGTCGGCGCCGCCGGCTACTACAGCCCCGCCCGCCGCACCGCCGCCCGCAGCAAGCAGCACGGACGACTCGGGCGACTTCACAACCGTGTTTGTGTCCCAGACCGTCTCGCCCTCCGCAACGCCCACCGATGGAGGGGTGGGGAATGCGAATTCGGGGTTGGGCGAGGGGAGTGGGAATGGGGCGGTGAGGATGGGGAGTGCGGGTGCGAGCGCACTCGTCGCCCTCGTGGGGGTGCTGTTTGTGCTTTTGTAAGCTGTGCGGATTTGGTGTGGAGGGAGGAGTGGAGCGGGTGTGTGCGCGCGGATGGAACGCGAGATGGATTGGGATCCTGTGCTTTGCTTTGCTTTACGAAGATGGACTTGGACTTCGGTACGGGACATGGACAAGTAGTTTGTTACTGCGTAACACTTAGGATAAGCTGGACTGTAAAAGAAAACGAAAACAAGGAGAATGGAGAACTGTTATGTTTATGAAAAACTGGAGTGGGTGGGCAGGTAGTACAATGGGGACGGCAACGACGGCTGGAATTCAAAAGAAGGACACTCGTGGAGGCCGTAGCTACGGTCTTTTTCCAGAACAAAAAAGAAAATGGAACAAAAAAGAAGAAATTCAGGCTTGGGGAATGCCACTGGGAGGAGTCGAACCTCCGCGTCCCTTCATGCATCACTTTACGCAAATATTTTCACATCGGTGAAAAGCGACCGCCGTGGTCTACAGTGGCTTGCATACAAGGGTGGGTTGGGTTATCAAGTGGGAAGGAGATGTTGAGCCTGAGGAATGAAGAGCGAAGGCGGAGCCGCACATTGCGTTTTGTGTTTGCAAGGACAAAAACAGTACTAAGTACACACACGAGATTAAACTTGAGGATACCCACCGAGTTTCAAGCCGAGTGTTCATGGCATATTTGTGTCGCTGAAAAAACAATGTCTGCAATACCTGCATTCCACCGGGAGGAGTCGAACCTCCGCACCCCTTTATGCGTGAATATATACACCTTCATTTCGTATACGGGGGCGACCGCCGTGGTCCACGGTGGCTTGGGTTCAGAAGTGGGGTGTGCAATAGGCTGGGCAATTTTAAAAAAAAAAAAAAAAAAAAAAAAAAGAAGAGATTGAAGGGGAGAATTCGGTGCGTTAGAGAGAATAGCATTACAGCCGAGGGCATTGCAAAAAGTCGAGATATTTCAAGGTATGTTGCGTAGCGCAAAACAAAGAGTGGGATACGTATCATGCCACCGGGAGGAGTCGAACCTCCGCGTCCCTTCATACGTCTGGAATGGGAGTTGCGTATGGGTGAACGGCGACCGCCGTGGTCTACAGTAGCTTGCATCTAGAGGTGGGCTGGGCCAATAAATCACGAAGATTTTTTTCAGAGAATTGAGGTTGAGGTCGTTGCGTAGTGCAAAAAACGGCTCAATCAATTGATGCCACTGGGAGGAGTCGAACCTCCGCGTTCCTTCATACGTCTAACTACAGGGAATATATATGGGTGAAGGGCGACCGCCGTGGTCTACAGTGGCTTACATCTAGAGGTGAGTTGGGTCCATAAATCACGAAGAAATTTTTAGAGAATTGAGGTTGAAGGCGAAGCGCGAGGATTTGGTGCATTAGGAAAAATCCAGCGTTACAGCCGTGGGAGTGCTTTGAAAAGTCAAGAGTTTCAAGGTAGGTTTGCGTAGAGCGAGAGAAAGCCGGGCATGCTAATCTGATATGCCACCGGGAGGAGTCGAACCTCCACATCCCTTTATAAACGCCTGGAAAATCGCCTTCATATGCCGCGGGCGACCGCCGCGGTCCACGGTGACTTGGGTAAAGAGCATAAGTGGGAAAATAAGTGAGATGAAGAAGTTGAGAACGCCACCAACCTGATCAGAAAAACAGTGTTACAGCTAAGGCCACCACTGTCTGCTTCAATGCAACAATTTCCAAGTCCCTACTCAGCCTCAGAAACCGACGGTTTGGGGATGGGTTGGAAGGTGACCGCCAGTGGCTTGAGTTCAGCGGCAAGTGGCTTGTGACATCCTCCAGATTGGCTTAATTTTATGACGTTTGGGGTCATAATTCGGGAAGAAATTCGGAGCGGGAGATTGAGGACGGAACCTAGAATGGGCGGAAACAGTGGCAGCTGCGACGCAGAGTTTGTTGAACTGCCTCCCATGATGGCCACGATTGGCCAACATCCGAGTTAGAGACAAACAACTGAGTTTATGATACGATGTACAACGTAGGTTGAGTCTGGAAATTTTACGTCAATATTGGCTTTATCTTCAACAATCTCATATCTGTGATATTTATCTTTCTCTGTAGGTAGCTACATAACGTTACCTATATTTGATCCCCGAGGCAACAGCCTTTAGGCGGCTAAGATAAAGCTGTATGCTGTGCACCGAAGCCACGTACCTACCTACCTCCCACCCAATCTCCACCGATCTCCAACGTATGAGTGCGTGCCTCTACCTGCTACATCGCTGGAAACGACTAACGACAGCAGTAGACCGGAAATATGGCGGCATTTTCGCTTCGGCTGCCATGCTCGCTTTGCCAGCTTTGGCGGCTGCCGATTGTTTATTGCTGAACCTTTAGGTTTGGCTACCCAGGGAAACTTGAGTTTCGATCACGATCTATTTTCCTAACATGCACAAACAGGAAATTCGTAATATAAATTTGGTCATCATGCTGAACCTGTATAGGTTTTTCGCAAGTTTTCCGGTTTGTAATGTGGAATTTTGAATATAAATCAGGCCTCCTTGTTCTTGCCAAGATTCCAGGAGCGTCGTAGTTCTCACGAATTACTACTACTACTGGCTTCTCATTTTGATGTGTCATTTTCTCTTCGAGATTTGTGCGACTGCATCGGACTCGGAATATTTCGCTTCCGAAATCAATTAATTTCCCATGTCAAGCAATTATCACGTCACTGACCTTGCTTCCGCCCTACATGCCCTCGATTGCTACCTTCTGCAATTTTCCTGTCTCCGCTGCGTTCAACGACAAGGCTACAAGCTCTTCTGTATTCCTTGATTGGATAATGAACTCCAGTGATCCTACCCAAAACTCACGTGCTTCTAGTCTCCTGTCGCTTCCATGCAATGCTGGCGCTCTGTCGATGTTCTTGGCCGCTTCCTTGCCTTCTGATCTTGTACTTGGCTTGGACTGGTTCCAGTTTGTCTGTAACTCCACCAATCCCACCTCTGCTGTTGTTGTACACTTGATTTCTGGCCCACTTGAGCTGCGCCACAATTCTTTGACAAGTGCCGGTATGTCATAACTTTTGTACTGCGCTCACTATTTATTTATTCATTCCCAGGATCACCATCTGTTGCATTGGTGTTCCGGGGTAACATCGGGGTAGACCTATCGCCCTCCTCACCAGTGTCCCAGGGTGGACCTGGTGTAGTATCTACGCCCTCATTCATCACAAATTCGAATGTTAATATGAATGACGATGTTAATTTGATGCCAATGAATAATCCTCTGTCAAACGACTGTTCCGTGTATCTGATACTTTCGTCCGTCTCATTGAGCACAAGAAGATAACCGCTGTACGTTTCCTTATCATCCATTTACACGTTGCTCTTACGTTGAGACGAATGGCCTCTTGTCACCAGCATATTTACGCCCGAGATTCCGATGGAAAGTTGAAAAGTGCAGATACTCTTCGCGCCGAATTTTGGCCCATCAATGTGCTGAATTCTGTCTTATCCTCCAGTCAGAAGCTGCGCTTGCCGGGTTGAGTCCGATTCCTCTTTCACCTAGTTAACTAGAACGATGCAAATCAAACCTCCGGCCTAACCCTCGGAAAAGAAAGTCAAATCCCTAGACGACAATGTCAACAAGCGTCATTGTTCATCCGTTGAGACATCGGAGCCTGCCTTTCCCATCATATTAGACAGGTTGTGCAAAGCCGCACAGAGCCGCATGCGGCTTTGCGCATTGTGCAAAGCTGCGTGATAAACCGAGGATTTCTGAGTGAATCCGTGGTCATTCTTATGAAACATAGGTAGATTAGGTTCTATGCCGCACACTGGGCCATTTACCTAGCTTACATGGCATCATTCCAATGTCATTATTTGATTTCTCCACAGCCGCTGTGCGGCTATGGATGTGATGCTGCCAAAACATGCCATTTTCCTGCCATATTCCACACTTCCTCCTGCCACCTGATGCCGGAATCAACACCAGCAGCTTTCGAGGCAATGTCTCCAACAGTTTGATGTATCAGGGGCAGGGAAACGAAAGCCGCATGGTGCCGCATGCGGCTTTGCACAATGCACGAGATGCCGCATGCGGCTCATGCGGCTTTTGCACAACCTATCTATTATCTCAGGATGAGAAGGACCAAATTGTTTGCGAGTTTCGCCATGCTACTGACAATGCATCATCGAAGCAATCTGAATGTTCGTTCTATGGTACATTTGAAAGGGCGATCCTTATAAAAAATGAGAGGTGTTAGGGACCTTGATATCTCACTGCTTGAAAAAGCGGTCATAGAACTTTGTGCAATTTCTTGTCAGCCTACAATTGAATCCTTCCGCGCTTCCTCTGTGATCGGCGGATCATATGTCCTGTGCCATCTCTGCAATTCTGCTGCAAGCAAAAACACTTTTCGTTCTATTCCTGTATGCAGCTATGCAAATGGCCTTTGGATAGGAGAGGTTCCGGAAGAGCTTAAGGATCTCACATTTTGGAAGAGCAATGTATCACACGAGCCCGAGCAATGAGATGTATGTACAAGCTCACCCTTGGTTTCGGCAAGGTTTCGGACCCCTTGTTTTACGCATTTTTCCAAAAATACAGAAATCCCTTCGTCAGCTTCAACCTAAAGGTTCAGCGCCCGCCTCGAAGAGGCCCAATCCTCAGTCATCGAAATTTATGGAACTCCGGGAGGGGACATCGGACTCTATCGTAGGTGGGATGGATAATAATGGAAATCACGTCAACATCCGCAACGCCACTGCCATGACTTATGGTCTGTGTCTCAAAACCTGTGGTAGCGGAATCTGGGACATCGGCGGAGCGTGGTATCGGTGGCAGCAGTTCTCGGAGAGCCTCAGGTACGCACAATGCAGCTCTTGTTTGAAGAAGTAACTCGGACATTGCTTCCCAAGTCAATGGCTTTTTCCTTTTCTCGCATTGATATCTCAATTGCCCATGGGAGGGGATACCCCAGTCAGTGACAACTTGGGTTAAACTGCTTGCTGACTAGACCGCGGAGTATAGCTCGAAAATTTCGTGTCCATGCTGTTCACCATTGGATCGCCGACATTGGCTGCCTATTCTGTTACCTTGACTGTATTCAACAGCCGTTGGGTCCATCAGAGGTTCTCTAACATTCCTTATCCAAACGCTCGGGTTGCGGGGCGGATACTCAACAACTTTCAGCAGTCTCCCTTGAGAGTCACTGAAAATGATTACCTCCTCGGGTCCCTCATAGTTTTACCCGAAAATGATCAATGGTGGTCAGACTTAACCACTTTTCTCAACCCAAAACACCACTATTCATGGTCGTTCTCAAATATCACATCGATCATATGGGTGGTGTTCTCGTTCTTCTTGACTGTTATGGATTCATTCACCGGTAGGCTCGGTTCTCTGTGGCTTCGATTTTCCCAGCGATCCCAGCTGAAGCGAGTCTTCCTCCTTTGAGTGGGCTCGCGATTGCATTCTGCTGGATTTGGCTTCTCGCAATTCTGACTTGTTCCTTAAACAATGCACCTAGATG